TTTGGGCATGAATCATTATCAATGGCAGGTGTAAGGTCAACTTTCTTAGTTTGCAACTGAAACGAGGACAAAAAATGATCACAATAATAATTTCCGAGTGTCACGAGCCAGGCTCCATAATTCGGAGGTGATACATAAGTCCACAGTATTCGCGGGGGTTCTTTAATGAGGGTTTTTTTTTTTTTTTTTTCTGGCACCAGGACCAATCGATACTACCCCAGCGGATACCAAAGTGGGACTAGGTGGGCTTATCCATCTCTTGCACGAGAAAGCACCAATGACTGTGGCCCGATTGTCCCAGGCGAACGTGGAAACGCGGGCTCCCGACTGTTCGGGAATAGTCTCTCCAATGACCTGAACAGCGTTCGGAATAATGGAGCCTCTCCGAAAGTGTCGTAGTATTAATATTATCACTTTAATGATATTGTGCGCCGCTCATTCAGGTTCTATCCCCTTCTCCAAGGAATACCAAGAGATTTCGCTTCCCGCGCCGAAGTCGCTAGATTCTAGAAAGGTGGCACTGGTCTAAAATTCTCCAGCTACCCCAGGCTCCCCAGGCTCGGCCCCGTAAAGTGACTAAAATTTTCTTTGACCTGGGGCAAGCTGGGGGAATCCAAGAACCAAGATCACGATGATTCCCCAGGCCGCGCCAAGACTCGAAGACAGTATGTACGTAACGAATAACGTCTGGACCATAGGCAACAATAACTTGAACTACGATCGCTAAACCCCAACCATCAAATTCCCTCATTCCAATTGCTGCCATGTCCATCCAGCTACTTCATTCGCTGCTTCATGCTCCTCCCCAAAATTCTAAGAGAGCGATAAACAACGAACCGAGCGAGACAGATGAGAGAACATTGAACATTGCTCAAGACACCAATATGTTCTGACTGAGTCAGAGCAAGCAAGTCGACAATCAAACTTAATTCTTAGCGCACGTCCCTGCGCTGCTCCTTTTAATCCCTCATTCCAACATTTTGTAGCCCACTAGCAAGTCGGACATCTTCCCGAGGCTGGGCGAGGCGGTCCGACGTAGCTGTCACCCCACGTTCGCGGTAACCCGACCTTCCTTGCCCTTACCTAGCAGTAACCTCTAAGGATGAGTTGTTACGTATGAAGTCATCCACAGACATTATGGCCTTCGTTGAGATCGCGGGGTATGCGGTAGAAGAGGGGGCTGTGTCATAAATGCCCAAACAAGGAGAGGGAAGACCTAGTCCCGTACTACATTTAGGCGAATAGGATACGTATTCAATCAAATGCTCCAACTTGGTGGTAAATATGTAATTCCCTCGTCTGGGAGGGGTGCCGGTCCAACTACGGACCTCGAGGCCGTTGGGCTGGTTAGAGGTTGGCTATGTGTTTTCGATATTTGATCGCTGTTTATACATAGGGTCATGGATGGCGTTGGTTCTACGATGGTGTTTATTTATATATATATATATATACATTTTGGAGCGGGGAGGGCATCTAACCTAGGTACCGACATGTTTAACTGTTCGACCAATAACGCTAATTCGTGCTCGTTCTAGCCTGGCATGTTATACTGTATACGAAAATAATTCAGCTTAAAGAGATGGCCATCTCCATGTAGTAATACCTGCATAGCCTGAACAAATAAGAGCGACAACTTACTGAGGATCATATAAATCAAGGTGCCCCATTGTTGCTCGTGGCTAAGTAACATATCAAGAATTGATTTCATTCACCAATAGGTTGTTAAACCCATCGCAACAATATCGAAAAGAACAATAAGCATATATTCACCAAATAGAGAACCAGTTGAAACAGTGCACCGCCCGTGGGGAATAAAGAGACATGATCGTCATCAGAGTAAAGTCCAGAGAAGAACCATGAAAGAAAAAATATACAGAAAGGAAGAACAACAAGACAGAAGTAGATAGACTTCTACCAACAACTCCCAATTCTCACACACCACCGCGACCCATTCGCTCTATCGAACCCATGATACCACTGCGACCTGGGGTGAAGACAGCAATGCCAGACTTTCCTCCACTATTCCCGCGGGCCTGTCGGCTTCCCGGTGCTGGAATCCTTGGTATCTTCTTTTCGCCGTTGCTAGACCCCGTGCTCGGGGGGCGTATGCTGCTTGAACTACTGCGGCTAATGCTCTGTCTGAAGTCCTCCGGCGCAACCTCAACTGGCGTTGGCTCGGGCGAATTATCCGCCTGTGGTCTTGGGTCTTGGGGGCTATCCTGTGTCGATGGCTGATTCTGCTGGATTGCTAACCACTCATCCACAGCGGCGACAAGCTCGCCTTTTTCAGCCCGTTCGATTTTCAGCTCATGGTGCAATCGTTCACTGTCATCTTTGAGTGCACCCAACTCCTGCTGTAAGCCCTTGATTTGAGCCTCTAGGACACGTTTCTCTGCTTCATGCTCGTCCTTTTCCCGCTCAATCATGCTGAGATCAGGCTGAGAGACTTCCGGAAGAGCTGCGTCCCGCTCAACCTTGAGTCGCTTATTGTCTTCATAAGCGGCTTTTAATTTGTTCTCAGCTTCTCGCAATCGTTTATCCCAACGTGCCTCATAGCTTTTCTTCAAGGCAGCTACCTTGGTCTCATGCTTGCTCTTATACAGCGTGTGAAGCTCACGAGCAACTTTCTCAACAGCATCTTGAACTTCCTTCGCCGTTTCCTCAGCAGTCTTGCCGTATTGTGTACTTCCAGAGGCATCCTTATCGTTCGACGCTGGTTTGCGAGCCGAGCTTAATTGTGTCTCTAGTTCAACCACCCTACTTTCTAACTGCTCCTTGCTCTTCTCCATTTCCTCGGCTCGTCTCATTAATTGCTCTCTCTCTCGTTCACTTTCCATCATTTCAGTCTTGACAGATTGTAAGACATCTTCCACCTCCTGGCCTCTTCTCTGCCACTCAGCTTGTTCAATTTCTAGTGTCTCTCTCCGGGCAACTTCATTTCGAACCTCCTCTGATGTCTCTCCAACACGCCGTTCGGCGTCTGCAACAGCCTGCTTCAGACTAGCGACTTCCGCCTCTTTGCCACTGAGCGTAGCTTTGAGAGAAGAGATCTCCGAAAGAAAACCGGACTTCAGGGACTCTAGTTCCCGTGGTGTCACTGACGGGATGGATCGAGGTGTCGGAGCAGCAGGGAGATCAAAGTCGAGTAATGAGACTTTGGCGGGAGACCTGCTTGGTTCCCGGACAGTCCTTAATGGCGAACGCCGTGACGGCGAGTATCGCTCATTTTGCATGCTGTAGCGTTTGCGCGGGAAGAAGCTGGGCTGGTCTGACAAGTCAAGCAAGTTTGGAGTCTCGCTTGTATTTATGCTAACCCTTGCATCTCTCTTTCTAGGTGTGGGTGAGCCGAAATCAACCAAGCCGCTTATTCTGGGGGATTTTCTAGCAGTGGTAGGAGTCCCTTGTTCACCTTTTCCGTCCAGATCACCGTGTAGCTTAGGAGGTTGTCCGGCCTTGAACGGAGAGTCGCCCCGCAGATGTGCGAAGGATGTCATGTCCACATTGGTCACAGCGGAAAACGTGCTGAGACAAGTTTCATCCATGGAATCGTTTGTATCGTCAATTATATCATCATCTCCTTCGTGTAAGCTCGTACCCTCCTTTCCATTGGAAGCATCATTGTTGTTGTTCTCGTGAATCACTGTGCTCATTCCTTCGTTGTGGTTTTCTTCCATTAGACTGTTTCCAATATCTTGTCCAGCACTTTCTCTGCTGCCTTGTTCATTATTGATGCTGACGTCTTCGTCAGTGTAGACACTGATATTGGGCATATCTCTTCGGGTAGTGCCTTTTCTGTATCTATCGTCCAACGCATCATCCTCAGGTACATGTTCGTAGGACCGTTTCCTGGGGGTCGCCGACAATTGTTGGCCCCGGAGCATTTGCAAGTCGACTGTATCATCCCTAGCGTCATACTGAAATGGTGAGCTAGGTGGTAGTATGGGATCGGTGTAATCATAACCTATATCCTGCTCGGTCGGTTCTTGCGTAGCAGTATAACTCTGACGCCTTTCAGTATCTGCGCTCAGATTGTCAACCATTTTTCTCGGGCTCAAAAAGCCATTTTCTAGTCTATCTTTCGGCGCGACCATATTATCAACGACATCCTCCTGCGCAACCAGACTGCAAATTCCTGGGGAAACTGGCTGTGAATTCTGGCGCGAGGATGTTAAGGGAGAGAGAGGTGTGGGCATGGCAAAGGGGTAATGAAGAAGTGTAATAACAGGTAGAGTAACTGTTCTGAGAGCCAGAGCAGGTTACAGCGCGATATGCAAGAGCAGTATATGTGCAAAGCGTGAGAGGCCCATATGACACAACATTGAGAACGAGAGCAAGTCCAACCCGGAGTTTATTATTTTCGCCTGTTGCCAGGATGTTTGTAAACAAAGCTATTCCTATATAGGTATAGTATGATTTTCTATAGGGCGGTGAAATTTTACAAAATCCTCACCGCCTTAGTGTAACACCTATGAAAATGAGGTTTTATCTTGACCTGGCAATATCTACGATGGGGTTATCTTTTTCGTGGGCCTCCCCACCACTCTAACACCGGTAGTCTCCCTGCACCTTGTAGGAGGATTCCACAACTGTGTATGTTCGTGACAACTGACTGAGGCAGAACAGTGTCGATCTGCGTTATCTCTTTATCTATGAGGCTAACCTGCTCACTGTACTCCATCTCCCCACCTGCGCTACTCCGTACTGTTATGGCGCCCTTATCAGGTAGAATGGCTGCTAGCCAGCCTACTTTAATCAACTACCTGACTATTTTCTCGATCCACTGGACCAGTTGTAGGTTAATCTTGGAGTTGCCTGGTTGAAACTGGGGCAAGCATCGCATCATCGTCAAGCCCTCCGGGATTTTATTGACATGTTATGTATGTGATTCTGTAATGGGCTCAGAGGGAGTCCCATCTATATAAAGCTAACGATAGATGTAAACAGGAGCTAGTTAGGGATTAGTTTTCCTTTTGTGACGCTCACAGCTACGCATCTCTTATCACTTACAGAGACTTTCATTCATGCTACACATTAGATCAGACACCCGCGTGAATTGGATGTAGGTCGGCAATCGCCTAACTTCCAAAATGCTCCCATCAGCTTATATATTGTGGTGTTATGCTTTTGAAAGGGGGCATAATCTAGGTCGAAGGAGGCTACTGGTGTTTATGGTTTAGCTCTCGAACCATACGGGCTTATAGACGAACGGACGTTATGGAAAATGATATTTATTATTCAGACTCATACGCTATACATAAAACACCCAAACACCATGCAAAAATCCAACGTGCAGAACTTTTTGCCCTTCAACTGTAACCACAAGTCTAGGGGAGAGACAATCTTTTTTTAAAAAAGAGAAGGTATATGTACTTTTTCACTGCCCATTGCAATGATCCAGTCAATTGGTTGAGGCATTCTCGGTGAGTACCACTCCTCAGCTGTATGATGATCCAGTCGTTGTCTGCAGTACCGTCTGCTCATCCCCTGCATCATTAGGCATCCGGAATGCCTAATCAGCGCCTGTAACTATAATATGAACGGCGTCTCTCCGAGGGTGGGTCTCATTTGGCAAGTAGTGGCAGGGGGCGGCTGGCTGGATTGTAGCCGACGAGTGTTTCTTTCGCTCCATGAACCACAGCTGCATGGCACCGACGATTGCGGCTAGAGTGCTTCCCCACCATGCAAGCGCAGTACAATTAAGTTCCGCACCGGTGCTGTACAAATAACCGGCCATGGGTGGGGCGATGGTGCGAGAAGCAGCTCCGGCGGAAGCAGCAAGGCCATTGATCTTTCCCAAGACCGAGTCGGAAGGGCTAGCTTGCTTAATAAGGATCAACAAAACGGGGTAGTCAATGATTGCAAGGATATTGCGAACGACTAAGCATCCGTAAATGCCGAAGAACAACAGACCGTGAGGGAGAAAAATAAGGAATGGAACCATGAAATAAGCCACCGGATGAAGAATGGTCACAATCACGAAAAGTCTCCACACTCCCAAATAATGTGCCAATGCAGGAAAAATGACACTTTGAATGAATAGTGCGATGACGCCGTCGGTAGACATAATTAGGCCGACTGTTCTGGTTGAAAGACCAACACCGCCGGGGAAGTTCAATATCGAGTTTCCAACAGTATGGATGTCTCGAGAATTCTTGTCCTGGAGAAAAATAGGCAGTAAGTGGTCATAAGTCATGGAGTGATAAGTGAAGATCGCCAACGCAACGATGAGCATCATGACTCGTTTCGTGAAGATGGTTTGTCTTTGTGAGATTTTCTCGGGCCTTGAACCATCTGCCCGCACCAACCAATCCTCCTCATCATATAGGTGAACCTGATTGAAAGTGCCGTATGATTCGGCTCGTAGATCCGCTCCTGCATTGGCAGTCGCCCCAGAAGTCGCTAGAAGAGGGCGTTCTGCGGATCTGTTGTCGAGATTTTCGATAACATTCCCAGGCTGCATATCGGGATGAGTCTCTTCCAGGAAGAGCCAACTGAAGATAATGCTGAGAAAGAGTAAGACAGAACAAACAAGGTTTGGTAGGAGATAAGGGAAGCTGCCAAAGAGGCCATCACGATTAAACAAAGAAGGGAAGCCTTCAGCAGGCTTTGCAAGTAACCCTCCAATAGCTGCCATGGTATACATGGTTAACATCTTCTGCTATATTTTTTGGTCGACTAGTGCCCCTTAATACATACCTGGCCCAATAATTGTGCCAATTGACCAAACAAATGGCATCACAGCATAAGCTCGAGCTACACAGTTTACCGTCAGCCAAGGTTCCAGCCACAGAAGCAATGAGGTAGGAGAAATCATACGTTCATGCTCAGGTCTTTTGACTAGTTCGCCGACCATTGTCTGGATGACACCGATATTTCCGTTCAAGACGCCTCCGAGGGCCCGACCAAAGAGAGCTACCCAAAAGTTCGACGCGAAGCCGACAATAAGAAGGGATGCCATGGTTCCGAGGCAACCGGACAGTAGGACAGGTTTGCGACCGACACGATCTGAGAGGCTTCCCCAAAACATACCGGTGAGCGCTTCGGCCAGTGAAAAGGCCGAGACAAGTATGCCAGCAAAGAAGGACGCATCGGATCCATTAGCCACATTGAAGTCCTTGACCATCACCCATGAGTATGGGAAGATGGAAGTCAAGGCAATAGGCTCCGCAACACGACATATTGCTATAGTCAAACAAGTATCAGTACTTGCAAGTAAGAGAAAAACGTCAAAGGTCACAAACGAAATAGAGAGATAAGGGATTTGAACCGTTCAACGTACCTAAAAGGAATAGCTGAGTGGTTGGGAACTGGTCGTCCGAGGCAGGTTGTCTTCTCTGTTGTGTCAATACCATTATCTTTGGAAACGTCCAAGACTCTTACGGCTAGCCCTCCACAAAACGACAGGTCTCCTACCGAGACTATCCTTTTTCTAACCTCCTGTGAACTCTGCGTAGATGATGATACAGTGCTTTTCTTCGTCTCTTTTTCCTGTATTTCAATCCCGACTTGGCAAGCGCCCGAGACCCGGGGGGATAGGAATATAGAGACAAAAAGTTATTATGATAAGGTGGTGGAAGTATGGCGTATCACAGTCGGAGAGTGTGCACAGTGTGAGGAAGAGACGGGAGGCAGGGAAGAGAAATAGTAGAGCACCTATAAAAGGGAGAGGAAAAGGTCAGGCTTGCAGGAGGTTCCAGGGTACTGTCATGTAAAACAGCGGAAGCAATTCATGGAATTACCGGCTTAAGGGTTATCTTGATTGGCGATCCAGCCCAATGACAGTACACTAGCCCTGAATATGGAATAGCGAGCTGCACATGATCATGGATCCGGGTCAAAGATTTGAACTATGGAGATTAAAGTTTGAGCTGAGTCGGACTTATTCTTCTTAAATTTCAGTTCACCGTTGACAGGGAAAGCACATCCAACTACGTACCGGATACCGTTAAGCGAAGTAGCCGAATTGGGACATGATACCCAGATGGAAGAGTTATTCAAGTGTCTGCAATTTTTAGGTAGGTAAAGAATATTGCTGCATTTCTAAGTAGATGCGTACCATATACTGGTACGGATTACGGTGTACTCCGTATGTAACATGAAAGGATCGGTGGCGGACACTGGCCCTGTTTAGGTAACATTTTTCTCCCTACCTCCTTGGGCCCTGTCTGCGGTACACCGAGTATAGCATGGCAAATTTTTCCGAATCCTGTGCCGTGGTGTCCGAGACCCGCTGTGTAACTGGTAGCTTTGCTCATCAACGGTCCAGCTGTACGAGCGAAGAGTGTCTAGAGCATTCACCTAGGCTACTTCCTAATTCCTAAGGGAGTTCTGAAACCTCGCGTCATGCGCTTTTAGCCTTTAATACTACAGTACACAGTACGTATCCTTGGAAGGTATTGGTTGCCTACATAGATTGTGGGTACCAAGTCCGCAACCTGTTCTTGACCGGTGGAGATTAGATCCAAATAAGGCTACTAGACTAGAACCTTACCTCGTAGGAATCATCTTGTGTTGGGTTCATCGCAAAGTAATTCTCGTGTGGATGATGGTGAATATCTCAGATTTGGCAGTTTACATCGTATCGATAGAATGTAACCCGGATTCATCGGATATCTACTCCATTCGAGCCGGCGACTTCCTATACTCTTTCCCTCAAGGAACCCTTGCCATCAGCGCGGTTAAGACTCGTACGTTCGCAATGTTTCATGCACTTTGACATGCTGCTGCTGCGTAAAATTAGATGTATTAATATGACTTAGCTGGCGCTGTGTCAATAATGTACATTGGTAGTAGCATAGGGGACTTGTTCTGAACTAGTTCATCGGCTTATTTATCATAAAAAGCAGATATCTGAGCATGCCTGAGTTCCAAGCCATGGTTTACGTTACCGAAATATGTCATGACTTCTGCTGACAAGACCTGCTAATTTGTAGATGTCGCATAGAAGCCACTACTATAGCTATTTTGAGTCTTTAGAGTGGCTTTGTAAGGCATATCTGCAAGCGTAAATTTCGTAACTATGAAAGTAAAAATATACAGTGAGTCTTGAAGTGCTCCGTAGAAGGTAGCTATTCATTATGGGTATCTGGAAGAGGTTTGGTAGTAGGAGAGCATTATTGGTCTGTATTCTCAGACACAGGGATGTATGACCGCCGTTCCCTTGCTGCCTATCGAGGTATTAGCATTAATGCAAGCCGATGACTAGAACAAGGGTATTTGACATGCCTCGATATATTTTTGTAGCCATGGTTTGAAGACAGCCCATGCTAGCAGTCCGCTTGTAGCAATTATAAAAATGAACACTATGGCTTCGTCTTTCCTGGAGTCCCTCTCTGGATACCCGAACGGTTGGTCAGCACAAGTAAGCCGCAAGACAGGGAAAGTTATATCGTACGGAAACATGTAGTAAAAACATCCTCCTCTTTCGCATCTTTACACGTGGGCAAGTCATAATCAAGACAAAACTTTCGATTGCAATCGTTACAGCTAAGGGAGCGATATTTGCTGGCTCGTCTTTCATTTGTGTTATCGTGATGATCGGTGGAGTCGCTACGGCTGAGGAGATGGAAAACACTGGATAGAGAGGTAGTCTCTGGTTTCGCAGGATCGAGTGGAATGATGGTGCTGTTAGAGAAGCAAGTGCATTTGCAAAATGAGGCAGGAGCTTGAATGATGGAATTTTGGTCAATACTTCAAGTCATAATTAGGATCAATCGCAAATAGTCACTCACAGGATGCCAACGTGAAAGTCGTCAGTGACAAAAAAGCTACTAAAAGAAGAATAGTATGAGATACAATGTCCCGGTAACGAGACATGGTGAGAAAATGGTAAGGGGTGGAAGGAACCTTTTCCTTCCTACTGACGAAACGAATGTGTTATCAGTTGCGGTTACGTATATAAAGCTTAACCCGCACCCCGGACTCCTTGTCATCACGTGATAAATATATCAGTTCTACCTGTGGATTTATGCACATTGACTATTGAAAATCTATATTGCCGGCAAAAATCTCGATTGACACAGCTACGATATTTTCACATGATTCTATAGAAGATATATACAAGGACAGGAGCCCTATGATTTCCCTTTCATGCCTTTCCTCCTATTCTCCATTTGTCTCTGTTCTTTGGCAGCATCACGCCGTCTCTTCTTCCAGGCTCGGTTGTTATCTCCACGGTTCTCCCAGAACCATTTTGCGAACTCAGATTCATCCTTGAGTCCTGAGCTGGATTTTGGAACCGGTGTGTTGGTGTATTGCTCATCATCCACATTCATGGAGTCATGTTGCTCTAGGGTATTCCACCTTTTGTTTCGCCCAGCCAGCACTGTGTCAGGTGTGGGAGCAGCACTCCTCAGTCCACGGCTTTGTAGGTCCTTCTTCGTAAACGGGGTTTGTGGCTCTGCAATTTCCTGTGATTCTTCCTCGGATTCCATGTCTCCCTGTCCAAAGAAACTAAACTGCGCACTGGCATCTGGATCAGGCTTGACATCGGTAGTGCCGGGTGCGGGTCTCTTGAAAAGAGCTTCCAATGGATGGACTTCTTGATGGTGTGGCTCATCATTTTTCTCCGTTTGAGCAACGCCCTGGTCCACCTTTACTTCAGGGCCGGAAACCTTTTCAACACCCTGGGGCATCGACTGCGCCCCCTGTTCATCCTGGTCACTGGAGATACCTGATGTGTCTGACGAACCGGAGGTTACGCTTGCCTCGCTTTCTGAATCGGTGACACTATCGTCGGATGATGTTGCCCCACTAGACGAGGTCCAATCCTCTGATTCGTCTGATTCTTTCAGATCAAAATCTCTTCCAACAGAATTCACATCATCGAGACTTTGAGAGCTTGCTTTAGCCTTGGGCGAAGACTTGGATTTCGGTTTCTCCTTTGCCCCTGCTATTTTCCCTGGTGTGTATCGATCACTTCTGATTCGATCGCTGGCTTGTTCTTTTATGTTTCCTGAGCCGTCTATCCAGCCCTTGCCTTCTTCGAAAGTAAACGTAGGTGATGCCACGTCACTATCTGTCCGTAGGAAACTCGGGTGTGTAACAGTCTTGGAAAACTCATGTACAACAGACTCCTGTGAAGATTTATTCTTTTTCTTCTTTGACTGCTTGTCCTGCTCCACCTCAGCAGACGAGGCTCTATTAAGAGGGATTTTTGTTCGGAACAAACATTCTGCCTTCTCGGTATACTTGGATTTCGCCTGTGACTTTCCTGTTCTATCATCCTTCTTCTTGTTTCTCTTCTCCTCTTTGCGCCTCTCTTTTAAGGAGCTCGTTGACTCTGTCCAGCCTCTCTTTACTTGGCGATCTGTTTGAAGCTCATATCCCTCCAAGACGTTACCGACATCCTTTCGTTTCTTTGATTTCTTGCTTGACGGCGATACTGTGTTAAAAGCTGCCTTATCGGTTTCGTCGTCGCCCTCGTCCCTCTGTCTTTTCTGCGGCCGAGCTACATCCACCTTGAACTTTCGACCTTTGAGGATTGAACCGTTGAGCTTCTTCTTGATCTTATCTGCCTCCATTTCTGGTAGCGTTACGTAGCCGTAGTTATTCTCCGGAAATGTCGGGATGCTGTGGAAGGAGATTTCTCTGGCCAACGGCCGAACGGATGAAGGTAATACGGAGGGGAGAAGTTCTGCGGTAAAAGGAGTGATGTAAAGACGTTTAGTTGCTAAAGGATCGGTCGTCATTTGTTAAGATTGATGATGGATCATATGGCGATAGCCTAGTTAATAGGTAATAGGGGAGAAGGAGGACCGTAAGGTGCCTATAAGGAAAGAAGCAAAAGAGGGGAAAAAAAAAAAAAAAAAAAAAACAAAGGATGGCGATAACTGCAACCACCGGAAGCTGTGTAGCCGATTGCTCTAGGTCACAACGGATAGTTAAGGATTTGTTCGCATCCTTTATTAGAATGGGATAGCAGACTGACCTCAATTACTAGTGAGAGAGGTATGTGTAAAGGATCATCAACTACAGCCGTGGCGGTGATAAATAATTCTGTAGTAGTTGATGGATTTTCCACCCGCTAATCCCAAACCTAAAAGGGACCGACCTGTGGCGCAGCAGTCAACGGTCTTAGCCACATAGTGCTATGATACTCGATGCCAAGTTCTAGAGTTTTGGAGGTGGAGGACAGTACAGTACGTACTGTACTAATTCCATATTCCATGCGATAGTTACGGGGAGTCGATTAGTAATATCCTAGACTCAAGTAACTAACTAACTACTAAAGAGATACATAAGAAAATAGATAATGTTCCACTTATCATAAAAAACGACTTCGTTCTGTACAGTAGTGGAAGGATCCCTTTCAGTCTAGAACCCCCAGAGCCAAGGGGTTCGCCCCTCTTACCACCATTAAGCATCCGACGAATTGATGTAATACAAAGGCGTGGCGTCGCATCAGGACCTCTCATTCTTTGGAGGAGATGTATCATATTACAATTACAGCATTCTGTACCAATGCAATGGTGTGTACCACGTACTATTGAACTCAAAAATCACGATTAAGTCCTGTCCATCCATCATCAATCTTCTCGACCATCTTCTGTTTCTTGTTATCTTCAGGTACTTTGTCTCCCGGTTCATGTACAATTTCCAATACCAGTATCTACTATTGTTACTTATTTATCACTGCCTTCCCATTCCAAAGTGCTCTCTTCATTTCTCCCCGTCATATTTCACCCCTGATTCGGCCCCATCCACCCGCGGTTAACTTGGCCCGCATTCTGATCTCATCGCCGCTTCCAGCAGCCAGCTAGCTTCTTTGTCGCTCACATGGCCACAGCGACTTTATTATCACCTTTCTGTTTTTCTCCCCGCTCCAATAACTGAGGGTCTCACAGCCTACCGCTCCACTTTGACCCTTTTTGTTTTCACTTGGGAGTCTCACCCGGGGTTCCCTCAAATCTCTAATCTGTTCTCTTACTATCTTTCGGACACTTCGCGTCGTCTCCGCTTTCTTATCCGGCATTCCGCAGCCTCCCCAGATTCTCAAATTATCAACAGTCAGACTTCACCATTTTGACCTCCCTCATACCAATTCCCATTCTCGGCAGAGATGGGTAATTCGCAGACAAAAGAGGCCCGGCCACCTTTTACTCCAAATCGCCGAAACCATGGCGGTGGACATGGAAGATCACCGTATGGCGACAGACATCATTCAGAAGGCTCCAGATCAACGCGAGGCAGTAGACCAGATCTCTCCATTCTCGGAATTGGCGGAAGCTCGGAACGGGATGTTGCGACCCTCGAGCATCGCCGAGAAACGAAGCAAGAGCGAGAGGCTCGCCGTTTGGAGAGGGAACGGGTGGCTCGGGTTAAGGAACGGGAGCGTAGTATGAGAGAAGAACACGTCGATGGAGGTTACCTAGTTACGCAGGGTGTCTATACGGGAACGGAAGATTTCAACAAGGCTGTGGTGAGGCAATTAATGGTAATATGAAATTTGCGCCAACTGTTTGATGCGATCAAGGCTAATTCTTCAGCGTAGATCGAACGACGACTTGCGCCCTTCTGGAGGGGTCTTAACGACTTCTCTGATTCTTGGACGGAGCACCAGCTAATGGCTGCCGCGCGAGGCCTGCCCATTCCACCGCCTGACGAGATTCCTTCAGAGCTAGAGTATAAGAACCCACCGAAAGTCACAGAAGGGGCAAAGGAGTCAACTGATACGAAAGGAATTCAACATCTGACGGTTCCGATCACTTCGAGGTCACAATCTTATGGCTCCGATGCATCCCAATCATCTACCCCAGCCCACTCCTTACCTTCCCCCACATCACCCCTAGCTTCAGGAACTTCGAGTTCGCCATTGTTCCGCACCCGGGCGAAGACACTCGCCTCTCTCACTACATCTAAACATGGTACCCAAGCTGACCCAGCGCCTCGGGAGATGCAGCTCCCTCGCGACCCATTTGTCAATGGGCAACCCATCGAGGCTTATCTTTATAAAGACGCGGCTGAATGCCCCATCTGCTTCCTCTATTATCCTCCTTACCTAAACCGAACGAGATGTTGCGATCAACCTATCTGCTCCGAATGCTTTGTACAAATCAAACGTCCCGACCCACATCCTCCTGAGCATGGAGATTCTGATCCAAATGCCCCCGCCGCAGCTGCCGAGGGTGATACTGTCGACAACCAGGACTGTCAACTTGTCTCGGAACCTGCAGCCTGCCCCTTTTGTGTCCAGCCTGAATTTGGAGTGACATACGCGCCGCCACCCTTCCGCAGAGGGCTCACATATGCGTCAGACCCTAGTGCCCGCCCAAACTTCACATCTCCTGTCTCGTCTACATCTTCACTTTCTTCTGGAAATGTTACAGCTGTTACGGGCCGGAGGCGCGCTGCATCATTGTCTGCAAATGACCCTACGGTAATCACAACTGATAAGGTCCGTCCGGATTGGGCTCAAAAACTGGCCAACGCTCGTGCGCACGCAGCGCGGAGGTCTGCAGCGGCAACCGCTCTCCACACTGCAGCATATCTGATGAACTCGAACGGCAATGGAAGTGACTCTCGAACTTTCAATATTGGGCGGAGAGGCGTCATGCGGAGAGCTGGCGGCTCGGATCCCCACAATTCTTCTAGCCGCACAGGCTCCCCGGCGCTGCAGGCTCTTGCATTCTTAACAGACCGACGCGGTGCTACAAACGACACGGACTCTACTGAGGAAGTGTCTGGGAACATAGCTCCGCCACGCAATAGTTCCCGGCGAAACCGTATTGACGATTTGGAAGAGATGATGATGATGGAGGCGATTAGGCTGAGTTTAGCCAGCGAGGAGGAGCGTCGTAAGAGGGAGGAGAAGGAAGCGAAAAAAGAAGCAAAAAAGAGAGAAAAAGAGGCCAAGAAGGCAGAAAAGTCTGCCCGTAAGACCGGTCTTTACAGTACCAATGCAAGTGGATCCGCTTTGGACGTACCTACAGGGCTAGGAAGGGTTGCGAGCAGCTCTTCCTCTGTTATCGGCGAGGAAAGCACGCCTGTTGGCAAGGGCAAAGAAGTGGATCGTGTATCCCCGGATGCCCCTGTCGATGCTACGCCTACATGTTCAGGTACTGCGTCCGGTGGTATGAATGCCGTATATCCGCCTGCGAATTTGACAGATCAACATCAGTCTATGCAATCTTCCGTCTCTCAATCTTCACCCAGGGAGCTATCGAAACCGTCACATTTGCGACATGTCTCGAGTGCTTCTTCGTCGTTCTCCTCTCTTGTTGAGTCGATGTCTGGCGATCACGCTGGGACCACAGAGGGCAATGGCTCGTCTACAGAACCGATGTTCAATTTCCGGAGTCTAGCTGCCGTTATAGGCGATGAAGACAAAAGGGATGAATCTGCAGAGCACGTAGAAAATGCGTCATCAATTCCGCAGGCTGAGGGGTCTGCCTCGCGGTCTGTGCTTCCACTTGACCATGCACATACTGATGACTCGGTCTCTAAGGCTGATACCACCGAACCGGCTGGATCAGAATTCGCGCTACAAGAGAATCAAGGATATCTGATACCGAAAGAGCTTGAGACACGCTCAATGGAGATCACCGACTCTACGGGGAATCCCCAGGCCACGTCTTGAAGGCGTGAGAAGGCTGCCCCATTTACTAACATTATTACCCCTCTTTCTCTATTTACCTTTTTTATATGACCATTTTGGTGCGGGAGAAGGAATGAGATTAGTGATGCGAATCTGTCGGCGCAGGAGGCTTTTTAGTGAAAAGCGATGTTGCATTCTTTTTCAGTCTGGTTCCCTTTCCTTTTACGTTTGCTCTTATCATGATGTTTGTGCATGACCGGACCGGACGTTCTCTTCTTGCTTTATATACATACATTGGCATAGAACTTGTTGTTACTTGATTGACTGTTCGTTCATATGTATCGGGCGAGGTAGGCAGCCAGATTGCATACATATACTCGATAATGATGGCTCAGGTGTGCGTGCTGGCAAGGGGCTCTGTCAGGTCCATGCTAATAGTTAGTTCAAATAGATTAGGGAAATACGAATGGTGGTTGTATAGCCTGATATTCAAGTGCCAGTGGGGGAAGCGAGTGGCTGGGTAAAGGAAGGGCAGGGCAGTAAGTGAAAAAGAAATGAAATAAGGGGATGTATGAAAAAATAATTCCGATGCGGGGAATCGAACCCCGAGCTGCTGTGTGAGAGACAGCGATGTTAACCATTACACCACATCGGAGTAACTGTGTCATTTTTTGGACAAATAAATTTTTTAGTGATAAATAAACAATTGGATTGAAATCTCCGATCTACAGATCCACTTCGGAGACCTTTCTTTGGCGAGCTCACGCCACCACAACAATCTAATCGATGAGGAAAAATGGTAGAAAATAAAAAATAAATATAATTTGTATCACATGACAGCGGTTCATGAGTTTTTAAATCTAATTCTCATCCATATACTCGGTAGCATGGATATTCTTTGTGATTTCTATATATCATTAAATAGTAACGCAGTCCTGAGTAATTGAATGTAAGGAAAATTCAATCATGGTCAATTAATTAAATTTTCTTTTACTCCGTACCTGTCTGAGCATTTTCATTTGCTGCTCCAAGATTAGCACGGAACGATAAATACCAAAGTATGACGCCAGATCTAATAAGGATCAGCATATCTGCATCGCTCCTGAATGGATCAGCCATTGCTTTTTCCAGGTAGGTTTAGTATTTCCATTATCTTGCCAGTTCTCCTTCGTATTTGGATTCTGATATCCGATCGAACTTCACCGTGATTCTTTCACCAGTTCCTTACTTTCTCATCCACCTTGATCCTGACAATATAGTATCAGCGATACACAACTGGAACCGGAGATTAATAGACTTCATTATCGATGGATTCGTCATGTAATAACGGCGTTGTCTTGGGATCCTGTAAGTAATTTAGTGGTTTTTTTTTTTTTCTTTTTTTTTTCTTTTGGTTCAAGGCTGTAACGAACTATCATCCGAACTAAAAGGTAGTTCGATCCAGTAAATCGATGGATCCATTCCACCGTTCAGCCTGGTCTCTGGTTTGTTCCTTACTCGACCCAGATTAATCAAAGTGTTTTTCTTTTTCTCTGTGTTCCTCCTGTGATTTTCCTTCCTTGTATTCATTACCACTGGGTACATTATCTGCATCGTCTGATTCCGAGTAAGTCGCGGGCTTGCCAAGTACTCATACTTTTTCGCTGATGCTAATCGCGCAGTCTCTTTGTTATCAATTACGGAGTAAACTGCACTGATAACCACCGACGTCAGCCGGCATTAGTATTTGTCCATCCGTTATTGCGATTGCAACTTACGCGATCAGGAGAGGATACAGAGGAAGGCGAGAAAAAGAAGAAGAAGAAGAAGGGCCATAACCATGGCCATTCTCGACAAGGAAAGCCGTTCACGCGGTCTCCGAATGCCATCACTTTCTGCAATCAAATCCAGAAAGAAAAACGCCGAATCACCACCACGGAGAGATTCAAGTTCTGAGGAAGTCGCGATACCAGCACGAATGGACTCGGTACCGGGCCGATTTCTTCACTCGCAAGAGAAGGACCTGCCGCCCAACCCGCTGCCTTCTCCTCCCCCATTCCCCTCTGCCCCAACCGACTCGTTTTCAAACCAGTCGCCGTACCATCACATCAACCCTACACCTAAATATGAAGACCGCCCACTCCCCAGATTTCCTCGAGTTCCCGTTCCCAAGCGGGAGGAGCCTCCGGCTCCGGCTCCTGTACAACAAGTAACTCCTCCATCCAGTGAAGATCAGTACCCTATCCACCATCAGGAACACGTTCGGCCAATCGAGGACCCTCTAGAGAGCTTTATTCCCGAGCCAGAACCAGAACTCGATGACAGCAGTGCGACTGTCGAACCGGTCTCAGTCGAAGAGAGTAATGGACCATGGACGCCGCCAGATTACGAGCCCGTCGCCGCACCGCTAAACCAATTACACTATGCCTGCTATCAGGAACATCGGTCGATGCCCACTGCAAACAACCTCTGGCATCCACTTCCATGTATGACCTGCCAGAAATACGATCGAGAAATTCGATACCGATGCGTTTTCTGTTGCCTGCGCATTTGCGCCGGTTGTTACCAGGCGCTGCAGAAATGCCCGAATCGCTCGCTGGAGCAGCTGATGAAAACGATGCCCTCCCACGACTAGCTTTTCACTCATCACTGATCGTTGTTCTGACCTGTCCAGGGCATGGGTGTTGGTTCCATAGTTTAATTTCTTATACATATTTTCGGGTTGATATATTAAAGTTCAGTTCGTTGCGCTCTCGTTGCCGGAGCTTATTATCTGTTCATGTTATGATACGTCAAGAAATCTTTGCAGATATTTCGTCGTTATTTATTGTATATATGGTCACGGGTTTAGGTCAATGTATGATTATTAGGAGTTCGCTTAGACAGTATAGATTATTTTGATCTGACGTGCTTTCTAGCCATCTATATATAAGCATATAAAGTAACATCAAATGCGATTTACTAAGTAGTTTATGATACAGGTAAGTCATTAATCATGATCCTCCTCAGTCACACCTGGACATCCCTCCATTTCTCCGGTCTCGTAGCGGAATTTACACCAGAAACAGTAATGGTGTGTCTCACGCAGATACTGCACTATCCGGTCCAGCCGCTCGCTCGGCTCGAGGGCATTAAACTCGTCTAGTTCTGGGTCTTCTTCATCAAGCTCCTGCTCAAGGATAGTTGAGATATCAGGGTTGTTGTCGAGCGCCAGTTTATCCTCCCGTTCCAGCGTCGGGTCGTCATACCCTGGTAACCGTGGGTCGGGGAAGAATGACGATGGCAGGGATGTTTGCAACCGATGCCGGGCCTGGATGGAACGTTCTTTCTCCTCCCGCTCACGGACGAGCCCGCGATATAAGATGTTGATTTGCAAGGTCGGTTTGACCTTGACCTTGGGCTGCGATATCTTTGATCCACTGGTCGTTTCTTCGGATTCCTCCTCTTCATGTTCAGTCGGGGTCTTCCCACGCTTCGTCTGGATGGTCTCCCCGTCTCCTGTCCCCGCCTCCGCATCCAATCGTTCGGCAACCTTCTGCGCAGCATGAAATTGAGCTTCAGTACGGCGTGTCTCCCGTTCAATGCGGACACGATCGCGGTAATCACCCTCTTCCTGCTTTACTTTCTTCACTGCCTCTTCGGCCTCTTCCCGGAACTTGCGTTTCTTTTCACTATCCAGACCAATACCACCCCGGTCCTCCTTGAACACCAAATTGAGTGGCTCGGCTCGCGCGCCGGATTTGCTAATGGATTCTTGATCTGATACCCCCGCACCTTGGGATTTACCTAATGCTTGTCCCGGCTTGAACCCCAGTTTGGCCATCATTTGGAACCCCTTGTTGGAAGGGTTAAGCGTGCTGGTGGCTAAGGCCGCATCACGACGTTCGGCTTCTTGGGCTGCACGTTCGGCTTTGGATGGAACTTTACCTCGAGCTTCGGCCTGAGTAGAGGAGAAGAACACATCAGTTCATTTGCGCGCCATGCAAGTGTGAGGGAAACAGGGAACAAGGGCTGTATGGCGTCAGCACATGCTACCTACCTCTCTCTGTTGTCGGCGTTTTTTCTGGGTAAATGTTTCTTTCTGCTGCGGCTCCTCGATCACCATAGACAAGTAATCATCCTCCTCTTCGTCCCGTACATCAGGTGCGGGGTTCTGAAGAGGGGCCATTTCCGGCGAAGATGCGCGCGAAACGGACACAGAAGTAGACCCGGAAATACGGATGAGAGACAAAAGATACAGGATTTAGCTCGAGAATTAGCTCGTGGATAAAGCCGACACAATAATGCTTTCTTTAAGCGGAGGTTGTCCGAGTAAACTAGATAGTTTATTTGTTGGTTCAGGTGACTCCTCTGGGTTTCCGATTGCGGGGAAGAAAATCAATGCAGTTTGTCAATGCGGAGGAAATTTGTTCTCCATCTTTGATTGGTCAATTTTCTCATTCTGCACCCACAATACCACAGTTGAGAGGACTCAATGGACTTGAAAGTACCCATGAATACTACTAGTACTATACTAATTACTAGTACTGGCTCACTCAGCTATATAGGTCTATTGTTAATCGAACTAATTCGGAGTATTGCCTTTAAACGTTGATGCTTTAGCGTCAAGCACTGTCCACCCAATCAGCTCTCCAGCCAGCTAGTAGCTCATTTCCCCTCCCACTACTCACTCCTTAGGCATTGACGATCAAAGTCGGTACACGCGATGACACCATAGATAATCATCTTTACCTAGTCATGTCTTGTGAATACTGAACCTTCTTCTGCAAGTCTGGCCACTGCGGCCCTTTGGCATCGATCAGTGCTCCCCTTAAGTGTGGATTTCGAGCGAATGCTAGCGCGTATGTTTGCCATACGATGGTGGTCACCACTGGGTAGAGTTGCAAATGCTTTCGGAATGGCACAGTACATTCTATTTGCCCAATTCTTCCTACTTTTCTGCTTGACAGCTGCTCAAGAAGTGGTGGTAGACCTTGAGTACGCTCGGTATAGGGGTAGAGCGCTCTCAAACGGCCTAGTACAATGACTAGGAATTCGATATGCCGCCTCTCCTACAGGACCATTACGCTTCTCTGCCCCACAGAGTCCAAGCGTGGTAGCTGGGATTCAGGATGCATTTGAGGTAGAGTTGCTTATCCGGAACTATATACTGCACGAGAGCTGATGCTCTCCCTAAAGCATGGTCCTACGTGTATCCCCACTAGCGAGTATCCGATTCCTGAAGACGCATCTGACTGCCTTTTTCTAGATGTGTATTCTCCTTATAGAGCCAGTAACCATCCCGAATTGCTGCCGGTATTTGTTTGGATTCAGGGCGGGGGCTTCAATCAGAATTCAAATCCGAATTACAATGGTACCGGCTTGATACAAGCGTCTGGTATGGGAATCGTCGTGGTTACCTTCAATTATCGTGTTGGCCCGTACGGATTCCTCTCGAGGAGAGAGATTCAACAAAATGGAAGTGTGAACAACGGCCTAAAGGACCAGACTAAAGTCCTGGAGTGGGTTCAGAAATATATACACAAGGTTAGATCTTAGACACTGGCAGCAGCATGATAATGCTAACAGATTTTCCAGGTTTGGCGGAGACCCCAAACATGTGGTTATAGGTGGTGCTAGCGCAGGAGCCGCCTCCATCACCCTTCTTCTCTCAGCCTACGGTGGAAGGGACGATGGTCTCTTTCATGCTGCTGCTGCGGAATCGCAAAGCTTTGCTACCATGCTTAGTTTGAATCAAAGTCAGTTTGCATACAACAACCTAGTCATCCGTACTGATTGTGCAAGTGATGCTGACACACTTGAATGCTTGCGTGGTCTGGATACGGAGGTCCTCCAGCGTGAAAACATCAACACACCCTTGCCTAATGCACAACAGGCGCCCCTATATCTATACGGACTAGTGGTTGACGGTGATCTTGTTCCCGATTATACGTACCGTCTGTTCCACAGGGACCATATTATCAAGGTGCCTGTTATTTTCGGCGACGACACGAATGAAGGCACCATATTCGTTCCCAAGAATATTTCCAACGTCGGGGAAACAGATACATTCATCCAAAATCAATTCGCAACTATTGAATTAGAGCAATTTGCTGCAATCAACGCCTGGTATTTCTATGAGAGCCAGACGCGCCAATTTCCGGACGCTAAGCCTTACTGGAGACCTGCAAGCACTGCATATAGTGAGATGCGGTATATCTGCCCTGGGATTGACCTGGCATCTATCTACGCCAAGGCCGGGATTAACAGTTGGAACTACCACTACGCCGTCCAAGGCCCAGATTTGGAAGAATCTGGCCTCGGCGTAGGTCATACAGTGGAAATCAACGCGATTTGGGGCCCAAATTATGTAACAGGAGATCCTCCCTCATCTTACTTCACTACCAATGCGCAGATTGTACCCGTTATGCAAGGTTACTGGACAAGCTTCATCAAAACATTTGATCCAAATCCTCATCGTTACCCAGGGAGTCCACAATGGAATACTTGGGGTAACGAAGGGTATTCCCGCATCTTCATCAAGACAAACGAAACAAGGATGGAGCAAGTATCGGAAGATCAGAGGGAACGTTGTGAATATTTGATCAGCATCGGACCGGAACTTCAACAGTAATACTAACTGTGCCTGTCTTGACTGCTACTCTACCTACATAACTCTTAGAGCCCACATAGGCAATTGGGATACATGTTTGACATAACGGAAGAGTTCTTTTGTTCAGCAGCCTTGACAAATCAAATGATCAAGAGTATATACACATGTTCGGCATGCGAAGTATAAGCACAAACATAATAATAATGATACCTGAAGCCCAACCAAAACCAACAAGAATGTCATAAATAGCGACATGATTACCGCTTGCCCTGGCGCAATCTCCTCTCCCTCTCGTAAGCATTGGCCTCTCTGCCCTCCTGGTTCTGCACCTCGGCCACAAGTCGTTTGTATTTCTTCTCGTACTCGGCATCGCGCTCCTTCTTTTCGCGCAGCTTCTCGCGCGCAATGAAGTTGGCATCCTTGCGTAGTTCCCGCATGGCGCCCTTGCGCTCGCGCTTGTACTCGGCCTTGAGCCGGTTGGCTTCCGCACGCTCGCGGTTGGGGTCGTAGTGCTTGTCTGGGTTGAAAGTATCCTCGAACTTGGGAATGGCGGTTTTAATAGCCAGCGGGCGGTGATCGTGGAGTAGAAGCGGGCGACGTGTAAGGCGGGCTTTTGAGGTGTGGCCATCGAATTTATCGAGGGTCGACTGCAGGGTATCTTGAACAATGGAGGGAATCCTACCCTTGCAGGATCGGCTCAGGAAGCGAAGAACTTTCTGAGCCTGATCGAAGATCTCAAGGAAGGCTGATAATTCTGACCACATATCGGAGGCGGTGCTGAGGAGAGAGATGAATGTGTTGATGAGGGAAAGCTTGAGATCTTCTTGGGCCTTAGTGCTTTCCGGGCCAGTGACGTCCCAGAATTGGAGTTTTCTCGACTTCAGCGATTTGGACATCTTCAGTCGTATAGATGCCTCCGGACTCCGAGATGGGAAGAGACCGAGGTTGCTCTTTGGCTCCTCCGGGGCAAGGTTGCACAGGGCGTTAAGGACGTAGTTGATCAATTCTGGCATGTAGCGCTTGGAAACTGATTGATATTGGAGGACCAGGCTTGCGGCATAGGCACCCGTTGCAAAGTCTGCGAGAGTGTTCACGGCGCCTTGTCCTAGGTACCGCGAAAGGCACAGGTGCGCTGGCGTTGCGACGGCGTGGAAGTGATCAGAGGTTGGGAAGGTAGTGGCAATTCCAGTTAGAATGACCAGATCACTGGGCCGGAGATTAAGTGGCCGGTCTGCTGCGATTTCACGTAGACGAGCCCTGAACTCCTGAGAGACGCTCTCGGGGTGGCTCTTTGCCAGAGAGTGGACGTGACGGAGGATGTTCTCAAGAATGGCAAAAGGAGGATGCTCAGGCTGTTCGGCCATGTAGGCGATATGCTGAATAAGAATGCGGGAGAATTGGTCAAGCTTCTTCTTATTGTCCGGGTGCAGACGATGATGGTGCAGAGCTCGAATTCTCTGAACGACCACCGGAAGGTCCTCCATGGGCACATCTTGAATGATCTGGAGGAACTCCTCATGATTCTTCGGGCAAGGGTACGTATAAGCCAACCCTTCATTAGCTTCTAGCGCATCAGCTGCAGCAGGGGCTTCTCCGGCGTTATCGCTAGGGAGAGTAAACCCGTTGATAAGCTCGTCTTCTTCGTCCTCTTCCACTTCCTCTTCTGACTCATCTGCAGATAATACCTCCTCATCACTATCGCCAATTGATAAGCTAACATCGGATCTCGTCTCAACAAGATCATCATCGATAATAAAATCATCCTCGTCCTCGACGCCAAGCTCGGGGCGGGTACTGGCCTGACCTGAAGACTGTTGCAACCCAAAAGCCTTTGCGTCATCTGGGATGGATTCGTCATCGGACATCTCACTTCCTCCCTCTTCTTCTTCGTCTTCCTCGTCTTCCGACTCACTTATTTCCTCGCCGCGCATTCTCCGAACACGCTCTTCTTCTAGAGCCTTCAGCCGCTCAGCTTCCTCCGCGGCCTTCTCCTCCTCTGTCTTTGTGCGGTCAGTTGGCTTAGATCGCTTATCAAACGTTAATTGCTTAAGGCGCTGATCATATTCCTTTTCAGTATCTCCTTTGGCCATGCCCTCCATAAGAGCAGCGCGATCTGGGTTCATAGATGCCAGGTCACTCTTCGGAGGTTCTGGCTTTGGCGGTGGCTTCACTCCTCTTAGCATTTCGAAAAGATCAGGAAGCCCTTTATCGAGTTCTTCACGGAGATCATCATCGTCCTCCTTAGCTTTTTGCCGCTCATACTTGTGAAATTTCGACTTGGCAATGACCTCCTTCATGACTTCGTGTTTTGATTTCTTTCGTTCAGGATGTTCCTCCCCGTCTTCTAGATCCTCTGGGCCATCAATCTCGCCATCATCGAAGAAAACTCGTTTCCTTTTTCGGGCTGCTTCGGAATCTGAGGCATCATCTTCCAGCCCGCCCAAGTCTCCCTCTTGGAAATCGTCTTGATCGATATCATTCAAAGACTGGCCTTTGTGTGTGAGTTGAAATTCTTCTTCCTCATCATCCCCCTCCAGATTGAACATTGATTCCTTTCGCATCTTGCGCTGACTTGCTCTAGCATAACGTTCGGCGGCTCTCTCTTCAGGCGTCATAGTCGGATCATCTTCACCGAACCGACGATCTAATATGCCACCGACCTTGTTCCTCTTCTCCATTTCTCGTAATAGCGTTTGGCGTCTCTGTACAGAGTAGAACCATTAGTAAATACAGTGAGACATAAAGCTGTGATGAAACTCACTTTTTCTTCTCCCAGTGACTTGGTAACACCAGGTCGCGCACGCGAAGCAGCAGTGCCTGAATTTCCATCTCGAGTTGTCACATCAAATTTTGTCCGTGTACCCCCCGCTTTGATTTCGAACGGGTTGAATCGGTCTCGAATTGACTGCAAAGCGGCATTGCGCTGGACCCGATTTTGCGCCGCAGCACCACTCTTCGCATTCTGGCGTTTTTGCTTTTTCGACTGCTGTGGCCCCAGAACTCCACTGTCGCGGAGAGAGGCCTTTAGCTGCTTCAACTGCGACGGCGGCATATCTGGGTGCTGAAGATGATGCAAAAGCGTTCTGTTTCTCCGAAATTTTTGGCGGCGGCAGTATGTCCGAAAAAAAGTTATATTCACCGCCTTTATGTGCTGAATTCTGCCGGTTTGTCTTTAGATCATCATTACTCTCCGCTTTCTACGATACCATGAGTATAGATCATTCTCGTTTCCAAGCTGAACCATGCCCTCTCATATGAACGATAGGTTGTTATGGCTATGCCTAGGTGAGCTTTCTGTGATTTGCTTATGGCAAGTGAATGGGCCGCTGACCCTATAGGTGTTTCTCTTTTCTTCGCTGTTCGCGGCATAGTCACGGACCTCCGCCAAGTGCGAGATCTGACGGAGATTAAGCATGTCGAGAAGGAAGATAAGATGATCAGTGAAGGCACGGAGGATGGTTGGTTACATACTTTTTTTTTTTTTCTTTGGGTGAGTTATCTAGTGGCTAATTGACCAGCAGCCCTCAAACTGGACACATTACTCAAGCTCTCTGAAAGCACAAGTTACGACCTCCGGGCAGCGTATGACAGCTCCAGTGTACACAGCCCGCATAATAGGCACTGACATACTTCACAGTGCTTTGCGTATTATCGCCGAGAGATCTACAAAGGGAGAAACTAGAGATTTGCTTCTAAGGGATCTTGCGAGCACGAATACAGAGAGACGAAGCAAAGCCCTCAGTGCGATGTACTTCCTAGTATCAAATCGCTCACGTACGGACCTTGCACATTCGACTTTGGGATATCTCAAGTTGATGCTGATTGCTACGATTTAGTTTCTCGGACCTCCGTATGTGCAAGACTGAAAGATCCGCCCACATACAACGCTCTTGTCGACTGTCTCTGCAATTTCCTCAACGAACATACCGAAGAAACTTCCACCACAGTATCACCTATTTTACCCAAAACTAGACCTCTCGAGGAGAAGAAGGCGCTTGGTACACTGAACCTGGTTCTTCCAGAAAATGTGCCCGCAGCTCTGGAGGCTGGCGTCGTCAGTCGTTGGCTCTCAAAATATCCATTTCCTTGCGCGCTTTCGGAGCCGTCGCGCCGGCAAGACGTGGTGATACTCATGAAAACCTGGTGGTCCGATGATACCCTTATGAGTTCAATATTTAGCACCCTCTCTTCTCATCCGGAGGGCACGAAGCAATTACGCAAATATGGTCTAATGGGTAGCATGATTGAGGAAAACGACCAGGATGATGATGACAGTGACATATGGATGGTAGATGGTGATGATACTGCCGGCTCAAGTCGAGTCCCCGGGAGGCGCCTGCGGGAACGGAGTGCTGAGGAGCAGGCTGTAAGGAGACGAAGGAGAGAGGCTATGGTGTTGAGTGATGGGGGACGACCACTTGGTCACGACGATATCATTCAACTACCTATCTCCGAATGACGGACAAGTTTCCTTCTATAGTCTCCATCGTGAGAGGAATGGACTTCATCTACTCGATGGCTGCACTATGTGATTGCTGTGGCGATTAGTTTATTTTGCTTTATGATACCCTTTTGTCCTGATATTACATAGCCCGCTTCGTCGATGTTCTTAAATGTACAATTATGATGGCATTCATAGCCCAATCCATGCTGATTTAGCAGCGTGATCCACCTTCTTCCGACTACTTTTAAGCATACCAAGCGCCTTGAGTTCTGATACCGCCCGATAGAACAATGTCATAGTCATCAGTTCATCGCAAGCGTCACCTTGTTCACTCTCGAACACCGCATAAAAAGCTTGCCAAAGGTCGTAAACGTTCACCAGTGCCCCGGACTCGAGATATAGCTGATATAAGATAGCCGTGGCTGGCTGTCGCGCGGAAATCTTAGCATCCGTCCTATCCGACATTGATATCAAGTAGTCGAAAGGATTGGCTAAAGCACGTTCGATCGCGAAACGTGGCCTAGGGGAGAAGATCTCCTTCAAGGGATTTTTCATATCCAGAAGAAAAGCCTCATGC